TGGTTTAAGTATTTATTAACAGCTTCAAAGGTCCTTTCCTTGGATGTGAACTACATGAGACCATGACTATTTCACATCCAGTGAAAGGACCTTTTTCGTAATCGAAAACTTATATGTTATGGTCAACGCAAAACAAAAATTAATAATATAGACAAAAAGGAACTTAATGAAAGTATAAATGGTTTAGATTAATTAGAAGCTTCGAAGGTCCTTTTACTGGATGTGAGCTTCATGAGACAATGCGGTAGCGTTTTCCCCCACATCCATTGAAAGAACCTTTTTCATATTTGACGAAAACAGTAATTTCTGTTCGTAAACACTTTAGAGCGTTTTCACTCAAGTGAGAAGACAGCCATAATAGAAACTTTCTGCACAGTACTTGCATAAAAATAGAGTTCACTTCCCAGAGGATAGAAAATGTATTGTTTTGGTATTCAATAATGGCCGCTGTGACGTCACGAGAAAACGCTCTATTATCAGGAATGGCTCCACTGTTCAGTACTCTAACTAATACATAAGATATAGAATTGTAATATAATTATATCTCTTTTTTCGCTTTGTGTGAGTTTTTTTTGCTATTACTGTGTTCTTTAGTTTGTTGCTTCTTTGTCGTAAATGTTGTAAATAGAAATAGAATGTAAAAAAGGAGCCATGTAAATAAACCTAATTGTATGATTGCACAAAAAAAAAAAAAGTTGTAAATTATATTTAAAAAGGTCTATGTAAATAAGTTGTGTGATTGATAAAGTTTGAAGATTAAAAAAAAAGATATAAACTTGTTTGGCGAAGCCATTCCTGTATTTAAACACTATTATCAGGAAAGGCTCCTGTGTCAGGAAATAAAACATGACATATAAGCTAGTTTACCAAAATCATTCTTGTTTGCAAACACTAGCCACCACTGACGAATGACTATAGCGAGTAATGCATAAGATGTAACCTTCCCGCATGTAAGAAACAATAAAATCAAGAAATTTTCTATCTCAACGAAAAAATTAAAGATATAAAATAAAAAAATAAAAAAAAGGAAAACAAAAAGAAAACAAACAAAAACAAAAAATCTTATCTGGATACAGTTGGATTTGAACATAAGTTCACCAAAAAAATTTCAAAAAAATCGATCCCACTTTGCCATACCCCCGAGACATCCGCAGAGCTGAGGCGTCGTATGGACTTCGGACCTGACGGCGATTAAATCCTTCTGCCCTTGGGTGTACGAATTACGCAAGAAAATGTTCTAGCCGAAGCATCAGGGGAGAGACC